ATAGATAGATAGATAGATAGATAGATAGACAGACAGACAGACAGACAGACAGACAGACAGACAGACAGACAGACAGATAGATAGATAGATCTTGGCATGCCATCAACTTCAAAAGTAGCTCTTGGTTTAAATAAGGTTGGGCACCCCTGATTTAGAGACTTCATTGACATCATAATGACTATGCAATGTGATGTGGCTATTCTTTTAATATAAGTTAAAGTGATCTACTTATGCTATGAAACAGCAAAAACAGCAAGTGTGTGTTAAAGTGATGAATTTATCTTTATTTTAAAAGACTCAAGCCCCCCTGAATATGAGAATATAATCGTTTTCCGATTCTGTAGGGCTGATGTAGTTTACATTGCGACTGGTCTAACTAGGGAATACTAATATTATGGCCGGTGGCTTCCCTTCAACCCTGTACTACCAAAGCCCAATCACCAATCCAGTGAATAAATATAGAAAAGTGGCACCATCAAACAGGATACTATAACACTGAGCAATAAAATGCCGGGTTTTAATTATTTTTTGTTTTGTTTTATTCAATTTATTTCTTCGATTGTTTTTTTAAAAATAAATCTGTGATATTCTGAGAAATTAGGGAAGCCCTCTTTTGTTTCCTTTGTTATTGCCCCCGCCCTCCAAGCAAACACTGTAATGCAGTGACCGTTAAACGCCAGCAAAATGACCGGTGTAACAATATTAATTGGAGATGTACCACAAAGATTGTTGCAGCCGAGCTGAACCGAGACCGTTATGTCGAGAGTGTTCGGAAGTGTTTCTTTGAGAAACCGGATGCTTTTCAACACGTTGAAGATTAACTTCAGCCATAATGTACAACATAAAGTGGGATTCTTTAGCTGCGCAGACTCACAATGCAAACTTCTGAGATACTTATATCCCCAAAGAAGACTCCAGCAAAGAGAAAATATGCCCATATTAATTACTTCATTGTAGGTAATGAGATCTGCAAAAATAGGTTTCTGTTTCTTATGGGTCGAGTTTCCATACATTATAGTTTTTGTTTTGTGTTCTCAGAACATCTGTGTTAGCCATTACCCAAAGTATCATTTTAATTGTAATGTTAGCTTCACTTGCCAAACACCCCCATTACTATCATGAGCTTTTAGATGTTTTTTTTGTCCCCCCTGTACCTTACAGATTTACAGTTGGGAGATTTACAGTGGGTATGGCTTCTAAATGAGATGTAAATGAGCCTCATTATAACTCCCAGCAGCAGACAAAGGTGAGAAGAGCTAGATTTAGATAGAGATTTCTCCACTTGAGCCTTTTCAATGAGCCTACTTTCAGATAGCTTTCAGATAAATTAGTTGTACAGACATAATAAGTTAAAAAGGAGGTCATTAATCCAACCTTGCTTTCACAGAGAAATTATGTCAGTCAAAAGGACCCAGTATTCGACAGTTAAATTTAACAAAAAGTGTATTAAAGACGCAACTGCTGTGAATAGCGTCAGCATCTAAGGCAGGAACCTCTGCAGGAGGAGGCCACAGGTTAGTGACCACGTTTATCTGGCGGTGGATGATAATGAACATGTGAGTCACTAACCTGGTCTTATAGTTGAGTCCAAGCTCAGAGAATGAGATTGGTTCCAGCCAGCAGGCTGCCAATGAGACCCGGGGGGCACAACCCACAGGGTCCCAGACGCCAGTGTCTCGGAAGTCAGAAGACAGGCAGGAGATCAGGAAGAAGGAGACGAAGGAAGGCAAGGTAATCCAGAATGCAAAGCCAAATCTGGTGTCCTAGACATGCTCAGTGGTCAGAGCCAGAAGATCAGAGTTCCCAAGAGGTGCCGAAGGGAAATCCAGAACGGAGTTGGGGAAGTTTTGGTTTGCTTAACAAACACGCAGAAATGCGGCAGGAGTCCAATGACAGGTTAGGCAAACAGATCAGAATGCGGACAGGCAGGTTCCAAAGTCCAGAGGCAGAACTAGTCAGGATCAGGCAATCAGAACACACAGGTACGCAAGAGAACTCTCACCAAAGGCTTGAATAATCTGGCAGTGATGACTGGTTTGAAGGCCGGCTATATAGAGGCTGAAGCAGGTGGATCAGGTGAGTGGTAATGAGAACTGGGCGGAGATATGCAGGTGAATGGAATGGATAACCAGACCATTCATCTGCACCAAACTCGTGACAAATAAAGGAGTTACTCAGTTTTCACCGGTCACATAAGAGTGCTAATTAGGAAATCAAATGTATCAAATAGAAAGAAGTAATAAGAGTGGAAGAGGAAAGAAGAAATAAAAAGACCTTAAATGATATATTTTTTGTATTTTTTATGAAAATTGAAATGCTGATTTTATCTATTCTGACACTTTTACATGATATACTCACCAAAGACCAGTGAACAGACATGCAAACACAATACATCCGACTGGAATTGCTCCCCAGTAAAGAGGTCCATAAAGTGAACCTTAATGAAAAAACATACTAAGTAAAATGTGCATAGAGCAAGATCATAATGACAAAAATATTATTTAGACTATTTACCGTAAACAGTCAAATGAATCAATAATGATGTATTATTTCCTAGATCATTCTGTGCCACACAAAAATACTTCTCTCCATCTCTGGCTTTAAATCTGTAAGGATTTCCTTCAGCAACTTTTCCATCTCCATCTGAGCTTTTTTTGAACCATATAAAGCTACTGATAGAAGGCTTGGCTCTGCTGGAGCAGCTCAGCTCCACCCAGCTACCTGCTGACACCAAACCTGATGGAC